TTCTACCTGAAAATTTAAAAGTGAGTGCGTCAGGGCATGTTAGGTTTATCGGATTCGTTTGTTTTTACTATTAATAACTCTATTAATAACTTTGCATATTTTATAGACCCTACACCAAGATCTGCATGAGCTGCTCGTTGATGACATAGAGAGTCCGTTTCGACCTCGGAATTCTCATTTTTCTTCTAATTTGAGGAACAGACGACTTTCTACAAGCTGCTCTAGCGTCGGGGCCAGCACCAATGCCGTTACTTTTTCATCGCCTATTTCTTCTCGATCCAGCTCTAGCTCTTCTTCCTCCTCTCGGTCTCGATCTCCTTTATCGTTCGGTCTCTCGGCCACTCAAGCACGTTTACTAGAAGATCGGCCGCTACCCTCCTGCCCTGTCTGCGAGCTTACTCTTGTCTCCTGTTTCTGCTCTTTCCGAAATACACGAACTGCGTCCGGTAGCCATTCTGCTACAGCTTCCAATGCAGCAAGCGCACCTAATACTGGTTTTGCAGCCATATCTGCAAGTTCTGGCGTTCGTAATGATTCGTTACATCTTCCAGCCTTATCAGGAAGCCTACTGACAACTGTTGATGAATGGCCTCGTTGGGTTGCCCCGGGCCGCAGGCGTAGAGCAGCAGCTTTGAGTGCTCTGGCCGTGAACTCAGCAACATTTGCCTCTCAGTTAACGAAGAGCCCAAGGTAAGATTAAAGTGCTTTCTCGATTGGGATAATACATTAAATTGATAGAAATTTAGGCACTGACAATTCGTTGCTGTCTAAGCTGCATTGAATTTTCCTAACCCGATGGGCAGGCAATGTCTAAATATAAAACGCTTGCGCTCTGCAAGATGATATAAGGTTGGAGGATTCGGACGAAGAGAAAATAAGAAAACTCGTATCACCATGTTTCCCATTTAGAGCCAGCTGAATCACAGTATAGGGCTGAAAGTATAAAGTCATTTATTGAGAGTAATGCGTAATAGAAGAGCCCAAAATCCGCGGGTCACATCGGAGCGGAGAAAGGGAAGAAAGAAAACGTGTTTGCTGCTTGAACTATCCTTGAGTAGAAGATGTTCGACTTTGGTTTCGCTACTTGGTCATATTAGCACGAAGATCTAGGGGAGCGCACCTTGTCCGGAGTCTATAGTATGCATGATCATTTTCAGAGTCGGACAAGGTGCGTTCCTCTAGGTCTTCCTGCTAATATGACCAAGCTCCAAAAGCAAGGTCAAACAACTTCTATACAACGAAAGGATACTGCGACCATACAAAAGGCAACTTCATCCTGGTCTTCATACCTTCGACTATCCTTGAGTAGTTTTGCATGTCACTTGATTGGTTCAAAAGACAGGCATGATGTGGTGCCAAGCCTTGTTTAGCTGAGACAGAATGATGATTAGTCATATTATCACCTGATTTCTCTGTTAAAGTTGTTGAGATATGGCTACGTACGTGATACAACAAAACGAAACACTGAATGGGAAAGTGTAGGTATAGGTTGCTATAAAATATTGTTAGTGTAGGATTAAGAACGTAGATTCAGCAGATTGGTTCACTAGAATCAAAGTTTGTCATATATGCATTCCATATTATCTGATCTCTTGTACAGCTTCGTGATTATCTGAGGAATGATGGACGCAAGATAAATTGATGTAGGATGC